CCGTCCAGTAGGCACATGTGGCTGGTGGCTACCATAGTGTACAGCCTGTGCTGTACAATCTAGAGATTAAGGGAATAATTCTATTTCTCTTTATTAGGGACTAGCATAGTGCTTGGTACATAGTAAGCACCAATTAAATATTTTTTGAGTGAATGAGTAGGTGAATAAATGCAAGTGCTAGAGAACTAATAATAAAAGATGATTTCATTTGGGAATTGTTGGTAGCCAGTGACCTAAATTTATATTAAAGATACTTCTCTTTTTCTTTGCAGCATTATGGATCCAAGCCTGTTGAGAGAAAGGGAGCTGTTCAAAAAACGAGCTCTTTCCACCCCTGTAGTAGAAAAACGTTCAGTATCTTCTGAATCATCATCATCATCATCTAAGAAGAAGAAAGCAAAGGTAGAACATGGAGGATCATCAGGCTCTAAACAAAATTCTGGTTAGTAAAATTGGTTAGGACTGTTTGGTTTTTATTATTCAGGCAACATTTAATCATGACAAGTTCATTTTTCAGTTCATTCATATTGATTGCTAGGCACTTTGTTTTATAAGGGATGAGATGATAAGAGAATTTAAGCTCTTAAGGTGTTAATGATTTTATGTTGTAGTTAAAATTTAGGTTATTATCTCTATATTTACAGAGTTGTGTAACTGTTACTACAGTCCAATTTTAGAACATTTCTGTCACCCCGGAAAGATCTGATGTGCCCGTTAGCAGTGTGACTACTCCCACCCCAGCCCCAGATAATCAATAATCTATTTCCTGTCTCTGTCTTTTCTGAACATTTCATATAAATGGAATTGTATAATCGTGGTATTTTGTGTGTGGCTTTTTTCACTTAGCATGTTTTTGAGTTTCATTTAATATTTCATTTGAGTTTCATTTCACTCATTTCATATTGAGTTTCGTATTCATATCAATTCATATTTGAGTTTCAATTGAGTTTCACTCAATTTCATATTGAGTTTCATATTGTATCAGTACTTCATTCCCTTTGATTGCTGAAGAATATTCCATTGTATGGATATATGTACCACAGTTTGTTTATCCATTCACCAGTTAATGGACATTTGGATTATTTCCACTGTTTGGCTATTTTGAATAGTGTTACTATGAACATTCATGTGCAAATCTTTGTGTAGACATATTTTTACTTCTCTTGGGTAGAGACCTAAGTGGAATTTTAGGTCCTGTGGTAAATTTATGTTTAACTTTTTAAGAAACTACTAAAATGGCTGTACTGTTTTACATTTTCACCAGCAACATACGAGGGTTTCAATTTTTTTTTTTTTTATCCTTGCCAACACTTGTTATTGTCTTTTTGATTATAGCTGTCCTCCTGGGTATGAAGTGGTATCTCATTGTGGATTTCATTTACATTTCCCTAATGACTAATGATGTTGAACATTGTTTTATATACTTATTGACCATTCATGTATCTTGGTGAAATGTCTATTCAAATTAGCCCATTTTTTAAAGAATTGGATTATTTTCTTCCTGTTGATTTGTAAGAATTCTTTATATATTCTGAATACCATTCCTTGATCTGATATATACTTGTAAATATTTTCTCCAAACTTGTACTATCTTGTTATTTTCTTTTTTTTTTTTTTTTATTTCAGGGTATTATGAGGGTACAAACATTATGGTTACACTTTATGTCTTTGCCTCACTGAAGTGAGAGTTAAAGGCATGCCCTTCCCCCTTATAATGCTCCCCGTGTCCTTTAGTTTCAGGTTTACCCCCCCATCCCCCTAATCCCTGCAGAGTATTAACTGCCATGTGATCACCCTAGTGTTGATCAGTTAGTACCAATTTGATGGCAAGTACAGGTGGAGCCCATTCTTCTGATCTTGTGGTGCCTCACTTTGGATAATGGGCTTAAGTTTAATCCAGGAAAGTATAAGAGATTCTAGATCACTGGTCTTGTTATTTTCTTAATGGTGTCTTCTGATGAGCAAAAGTTTTTAATTTTGGTGAATTCCAACTTGCCAGTTTTTTCTTTTATCAGTTGTGTTTTTGGTGTCTCTCACCTAAGAAATCTTTTTGCCTGAC